CCTCTGCCAAGCCGAACTCAATTACCTATTCACACTGTTTTCAAAAAACGGTTAACCCAGAGAATTCGTGCATCGATGCATGAAACGACAAAAGCTTGAACAAAACAAAAAGGAACTAGAATGTTCCGATAAAGCGCCCAATCCAAGAAATTGGCGAACACTTCCATGTATAAAAACGTGTCTGAACTCGTTGAAAGACACCTGAAGAAGTACAAATCCAAGTGGCGCACAAACCAACACATATTCTACGAAATCAGCTTGTACACCCTAAGGATAGGGTTGGCTATTTAGACCGAAAAGAGGTCGTTTACAAAATTCCTTGTAGCTGCTGCAATGCAGTTAACTGCGGACAAACAGGACGATCGGCTTCCACACGCTTATGTGAACATCAGCGAGCAGTAAAGGGACGATATCCGTTGTCCGAGATCGCCATGCACACAGTAGAAACTGGGCACCAATTCGCATGGGACGAAACTTGCATTGTCGGCTCTTGCCCATACAAGAAGGGTCGCTAATTTTTAGAAGCTATCAATTCTGACGAATCCTGCAATAACAGGCATGTTGAGTTGGATTCAATATACACCAACCTTAAAAAGGCCTGGAAAATAGACCAACCACAAAAGCAGGCTAATAACCACAGCTGACACAGTATTATCGATTTTTTTGACACGTTTAAAAATTTGAACTGCTCCTCACACTATTTCCTCACGTTTGAAGACTACCTAGCGTGCTAGTGTCGAAAATTTACGAATAAAGTTTGTTATCGTTTCCCGAAGAATTTCTCCATCAAACATATGTTCACCTTTGACGGTAGTCGGTTGCTTTAAGTACTTATTCTCCGCGGAACATAATTGCTTTGGTAAAATTTTAAGTCAATAAAAGAACCCGGCGTAACCACCAAGTTGTAGACAAATTTAAAAATAGTTTTGAGGCGCCGAGAGGGCTCGTTCCTCTATTCATCGATTTATTGCCAGTTTACAGGCAAGGTTAAAAGATATGTACAGTAATGACTCGATATGACAGGGAAAAGAACATCTGACCTATCTTTCTAGGGTTTTTCAGTAGAAGAAACTGCAGCGCGTTGTAGAGGCCAAATCACTACAAATATACAGAACGTCTTAGTAAATACGCAATGGAAAACTTTCTAGGGTAGGCTAACTGCTA